ATTTTAAACAGTGCTTGAATCTAAGTGCAAAAATGAAGACACAAAATTCACTCAACGACGAAAATTCGACATCTGTTACCTCTGACGAACCAAAACCAATAAAATTGCAAGATAATGCACTTGAGTTGAATTATTCTCAACTCAAGAAAGAAAGTGATCTACCAATTGCTACTTTATCTCCGGTAATTATTGATAAGATAAATTTAAGGTAAGTTTACATACAAATACTTAGACATTTAAATTAAAAAAACATGAAAGAAAAAAATTTTTATGTTTATTTTATAATAAAAAAAAAAAAAAAAAATTCAGTGCATCTATTTTATGAGAAATCTACGTGATAGTCTGAGAATAGGTACCCTTCTGTTAAATGAAGACAAAAATTTTTTCGTGACTTGTATTCGTGGTATCATCATAAAAAAAAATCGTTCTACTTATCTTCAAAGTAGAAAAATTTGTTTCAACTCCAACTACATTTGATAAAAGTTAGATAACTTAAATAATCACGAGAGAAAGAAAAATATTAATTTTAAAAAGTATTTAAATATTTACTGATAATAAATGGTTATTTAGCTAATAATTTTAATGAATTCTCTGAATAAAAAGAATACTAATGTTTATTTTTTATTACTATAAAAGTCAAAGTTGAGTTTCGTAGCCTTACAGAGTATGAAATCTTAAATTCCATCCGAAATAAATATTTAATGACAACGAAATGAAACTCGATCGCAATGTATCCCTCTTCTCGGTGCTGTTTGAAAAGTTAAGCACATCCGTGACCAACATCTCTCAAACGATTTTCTTCGTCTTAAGTTGCTTTTTTTCTTTTTAACCAACTAAACTCAATTGGTCATCTTCAAGAGTACTTTTATCAATTTATTTCTAGTCAAACGTTAAGCCTTCAGTCGAGGTTTTCGTTTAGTTGTTTACTACTAGGTATATACTTTTCCAACATATATATATATATATACTCCTTTTTCGATTCCAACCGCTGGTAGATAAACCAACTTAAGGACAAGGTATAAGATACTTTTGATACTCTACGACCTAGTTAGTTTACATCATAAAACCTAAACCATTGGCATTTTGTAAAACACATTTCTGCAGAGTTTATAATACGTCATTATTTATTCTATCAATTATAAAGTAAAGTGATGAAATTTTTTATTTATTCATCATACTTTGTCGATAAAAATGAAATTGTTCACTATAAAAATGAATTAATTGTTTATTTATTGTAAAAATATTGCAAATTTCAATAATAAAAATAATAATGAAAAATAATTTGAATTTATAAAGTAAATTTTAAAATATACAAAAATTAGAATATATATACACATATTTCTAACTTTTCATTCTGTTTCTCAAGAATTATTCTGCATACATTTTGATGCATTTACATAGAATATAGTTCATACAAATTGTAGAACTTGTGGTCGAAAGGATTTGTCTTGAGGTTTTGTTCACAATAAAACAAATACAGACATCCTGTATATTTTTGGATGTATATAAATAAACATATAATGAATATTTAAATTATAATCAGTGTATGATCACTGTTTATTTTATTTACCAAAAAAACTGCCCTGTTTTCCAATAAAAATGAAAAAGACAAAAAAAATATTTTGAGTTTAAAAAAAATATAATTTAAACGTTAATAAAAAAATTTCGATTTTAAAATTTTCATGTTGTATATTATATATATATTTATTTAAATAGCTTTTTCTCCATTTACTGATTTCCATATTTACTTAGTCTTTGAAAAAAAAAAAAAAATCAAATAAAGTTTATCCACTTTTATTTTTCGAAACTTTAGAATTTGAAATTGAAAAAATCGTTTGAGTATAATATAAACAATCAAATGAGTTCGTTAAATTTTTTCATATTTATTTTGTTGTACATATCTATGTAAAATACAAGTGTGAGTAAAGATAACCTTAGAAGGGTAAGTTTTCAAGGTAATCGTACGACTTGATAGAACTCACACTCAAGGGATACGACCCCAGCATACCCAGATGCCTCGTATTCGAAACTTTGCTTATATTCTCCCTCGTGACGACTTGGTAAAATTATTTTATTCATGTATTTTTTTTTTTTTTTTTTTTTTTATATATACCACGTATGTATATCGTATGAGTTACATGATTAAAGCAAATAGATAAAGTGCATATCAACTACTCTCGTCATCACGTACACTATTTTATACAGAATATGAGTAAATAAATATTCCATAAAACAATGCTTAACAAAAGACAATAATATTCCTTATTCAAACATTCAACTGTGACATTATCATTTTGAATAGTTTTTGTTTATTCTTGTCAAGATTTTGTAAAGAATATTCTGTTCCCTCTTACTGCTCTGCAGTCAACTTATCGAGCAACTTAATGTAAAATCTCAAAAGCAATAGATTGCCTACGTTATTCTTAAAGTCAAGACAATCTTACTCTTTTTACGCCCTTTCTATCCCTATTACTTTTCACGACAAAAGTTGAATTGAAACTTACCACACTAAAACGAGTAACCGCGAATTCTTATTTTACTATGCCTTAACATTTGCATGGGTAAACTCAAGGAAGTTTGCTTTTCTCGTTTTATGCTAATGCAATGTCTCACTACAGCTGACAGTCACCAAACTTGACAATATCCTTGACAATAATGAAACTTGTGGTGTTAAATTCAATTATTAAAGATTTGAATGTCAAACAAAGGAAAAAATTTATTTAAGGAAGTTACAGTTGTCAGAGAATACCTTATGTTACTTTTCTACATGAGAAAAAATAATTATCCATAGCTGTGAAGAATTTTCAAAAATTAGTCTGAGCTTATTTTGTGTCCTGACAACAAACATTCCATTTATTAAAATCCGTAATTTTGTCATCTTTTAATTTTTTTTGTTTAAAACAAATTGCTATTGCTATAAATAATATGAAATTGTTCAATCAAATCCAATGGTTTATAACACTTTATTAATATTAATTAAACATAATCATCATAATGATTATTCAATAAATTAAAACAATTTTTAATTGTTTATAACAAATCGAAATTCTCATGAACAATGTATAATATATAATAAAAACAATATTATATTGACCTTAGTTGTCAACAATGATAATTATCTATTAAATTGAATTTATTTCAAATGCCTTTTTTATTCAACTCATTAACAGTCTTTTTATAATAAAAAAAATGGCTGAACCGAATTTATTTAAATTCCTTTCAGATCTTCTTCATTGTATCTTTAAAATGAAATTAGTCTGAAGTCGATATCTTCAGTGGTTCTCAAGATATCGAAAACGAAAAAAAACCGGACGTACGCACGTACAATTGTACATACGTACATACATCTTTTTCTAAAGCTTTTAATATGCTTTTAAATGTCTCAAAATGACAAGATGTGAGAAGATTACGTATTTTAAAAATCAACCCCTATTACAAGACACTTCCTGCAGGAAGTTGACAAAAATTTGTTGCATCTTCAGATAATGTAATAATTTTAAATATGCCATTAATTATGCATTAACTGGTTCAATCATAAGCGAATGAAAAAGAGAGGGAGAACGATAAATTCACTTGTATTCACCCAACCGAATTATGTAGATTGATCACAATACAATGCAATGTTGTCCAAACTTGTGGGGGTAATTATCTCGTCACGGAGTAGTACAAGTGACTAGCGGAACGTCCTCGGAGGACCAATTTCTATCTCTTGTTTATCGCGTGGGTATATTAACTGACATTGCATTCGATCGAGGTCATGGGAATGCTTTTTGTTGAGTTTTAAAATAAATCTTATTTTATAACAAATACAGAATTACTTTTATTTGTATAAAAAAGTAAGGTAAAGTAAAATGCAAGGGTAGAGTACTAGGATATTAAAAAATTAGTGTTTCGTTTAATTAAACCTGTCTGGGTTGAATACATTTTATCATGCTTTTGCTAATATTTTAAGATTGCAATGTAATAAATACTCTTGATATTGCAAATATTTATGCAAAGAGAAATTTAATTTTTCAAGAAAAAAAAAACGATTTATAACATTATCTGTTATAATGGATGAAAATCTAATAAAGTACTAAAAAATAAGAGAAAAGATACGATATATGGGTACTGTCCTTTTGAATTATCGTATCTCACGTTACTAGACGTATATTAAAATCTTTTTAACCAACCATAAATAAGACTATGTTCATCCTTGTAATCCTTCGTTGGAGGGTTGTGCAAGTTAAAATGAATGTGAAAGTCACACGAAAAAGAGTAGATGTATTTTCAGATATTGCACCTATGATTTAAATTTATTCTTCACTTCTTACAATTTGATTTAATTTGCTAAAATGTATGTCTAAAAAAATCGCTGATTTTTTTAAACTCTAATTTTATTGATGATAATATTAGTTTTGTTATCAACGTTGAATATTTGAACGAAAATTCCGCAAAATGTTTTATAATTTCAGTCGGTAAAAAATTTCGTGTTTTTATCGACATAAGATCAATGATATCCAATAGGTAATGTAGTCATCTACTAATTTCTCCTATCCCTAAAATATTTTTTGGATAGTAAGAAAATTTCCAAAAATATTTCTATCGATTAATTTACCTAATTTACAAAATTACAACACATGTAGTTTACATTACCTTGTTCGTTTTAGTGGCTCGCGTTTAGACAGCTTTAAATATTCAACTTAGAATATACTAGGTTATCATCGAAATTACTACAAAAACAATTACACCGTAAGTATAATCATAATTCTTATCAGTTAGAATCATTACTTATCAGTATTGTGTATTATTTATGAGTGTATTGATGACTAAGAGGCTTGTGCATTGGTAGTAGAGACTGAAAATTTAAGAAAATTTCACTTCTACAAGCTAGCATGGCAATGCATTACAAAGGTACGACATAGATGTCGACACTCTGACCAAATCCGGTAAAATCCAGTATTTCTTGCGCAAGACATTCTGCGCAATCCCATTGACTGAAGAAAAAAAGACAAGGGCCAATAGTAATTCTCGGTGCCTTCGTGACAAGACTTGAGCGTAATCACTTGAGCGGTGTCATTCAATACTGTTGAGTACGTTTCGTATTAAAATCTCTTATTTTAAAACTAAATTTAGTTTCACGTTGAATATAAAAATTTTAGTGATCAAGTCATCAAAATTTCTTTGATTTTCATTGATAAATACCAACGTAAAAGAACAAGTCCGAGCACCACTGAGCTTCATTTTCTTTGTACGAAACATCAATTTTAAAGCTGCTACTATTCTTTGGCTCTGAGGATCTTGGACGATCCACTAAATCACTTATAAATAACACCAAAACATCATCGAAATATAATTTCAAAGCCACCAGGTGAGAGATAATTATTCAAGTAAAATAGGCCATTTAAATCTAAATAATCAATAATTGTAATAATGTTATTGACTGGAGTATACAAAGTCAGAAAATAAGAAACTAGTGTTAACTTTCGTGGAACTAGTCGTCATCAATATATTAAGTGGGCTAACATTTACTTTATAGATTTATTTTTATTGTGTGGTACGGACTAAAAATCAAAGAAGTTTTATCGATTTTGAATCTTGTAGTAGGAGCGAACTCAATTACATTGGAGGGACGACATGAAAAATCAATAATACTAACCCTACCTCAACATCGAGTCTTCTCGTTGCCATTGTATGATCTTAATTTTTTTTTTGTGATCAAAAAAATTCGAGGAATTGTTTAAAAATCACTGTGATAGATATTCTTTTTAATTATGCTAGAAAATCATTATGATGATTATTAAGTAATTTATCGAAAAAGGGAAGTTGATTTCCCGCGTTGAAATGAAAATGATAAAGCTTGAGTTGGTATATATTTTAGTACATACGTAGATCAGTGAAAATGTTCGTTGAAAGTACACATATTAATAATACACATTTATTTCTCAACATACCCAATACTAACACATACACTCGATCATATGCTTCTCCGGTCTGTCACTATACTAGGTCACAGCACATAATTCTATTTTACCTTATTATCATTCTGAACACGAAAATTAGGCCTCTTAGGAACTACTTTGAGTCATGTTTTTAATTACTCATAATTATAGCCATTGTTTTCTTTTTTCTTTTCTTCATTTAATGTTATTGATTTTTTCTCTTTAATTGAAATAAGTTTATAAATAAAAAACTAATCAGTTAGATTGAAGATAATTTTCAAAAAGTATGCTAATGTTCATTTATTCTAACAATATCAATATTTATCAATATTTATAATCTCACTCTTGGCATGCTGCAAATGAGTGTATTTCTCTCATAAAATTTTGCATGAATATATTTTGCATGCATTTGGATCGCTAATATATAGTTAAATAAAAGTTCACTCATGCGCTCAACATAATCATAAATGTAATATAGTATATGGATATGCTGTTTTATGTAACAAAATTTGAAGATCTGTATCTCTTAAAGTCAGTCTATCGATAATATTCTAGAAATATCGATTTTCTTTCTATGACAAAATGAAAAAAAATTTTATTAAACAATTAAAATTTAAGTCATATCATTTATCTATTTATTTTAATAATTTATTATTTTTTTAATTTCATTATTCAATTGTTTATTTGCCTTGACGTAATTTCAACGCTTTTGGTCACGCCTGCATTTCGTCCAGAGTGCGCACAAACATCTCAACCTACAATATCTTCGCACGTTGCTTCTTGATTGTCTTGAAAGTTGAACCACCATCGAATTTACGCATCGCCTGGCTAGACTACACAACAGATGAGGCAATCATAATACCTAAAAAAATCTACGACGAAGATAAAACGGAAGAGCAGTTGGCTGACGCCATTACCATTATACTAACAAATAAACAAGAAAAAGTGCCGTCATGCCGGCAGGTAACGGCACTTCGTATACGTCATTAGATGATTTAAGTGAAAATGTTTATAAAAGTACAACGATAGTTGATCAAACGCATCAAACAATCAGTCAAAGCGTTTTCGACAGCGTAAAAAAAGCCTTCAATTTTGCAGCTCCTAAAATGGAGTTGAGAAAAAAAGACTCACTTATCAACGATCAAATAGAAAGCATCTCTATAGTAAAAAGGTATGTTTATAAAAGTAATCATTATTATTAATGATTGGGTATTGATGATATGCTATAAAAATCAATTAATGAGTTGCGTGGTAACATAAATCGGGAAGTCAATAAAAAGAATCAGACTTGATTCGTATACTTGGAAAATTGCAAGTTGACACTGCGGTTATCGATCTGGCCTACGTAAAATGGCCAAGAGGTAAGCCGCATGAAGCTATATTTATCGATGTTCATTATGCACTGAACATGTATCAACTCATGTAGAATATATTGCTTTTTCTTTTTTGATCGCTACAGCCCTTTTATTAGTTTTTATCAGCCTTTAACTTTTTTTAATCTTATTAATCTAGCATAAACGTATGCGAATGTTGAATTTTTATATAATGTAATTTTGATGAATGACATCTCTCGTCTTGTATATAATAACCCTGAAGATTCAATGGAAAATGGATTGAAGTTAATTTGTTTGGTCGTGTGATTTTTTGTTGCCGTTTTGTTTTAGGAACAAAAAAAATATGCCAACCGCAGCTACTGCTGAAGAGTCTGCGCTATTAGGGTGAGTATATTTACTTTTAAAAAATTAAACAAGACTGTGGATTTTACGTTTCAAAATTATTGACATCAAAAATGAATTTAAAAAACTCGAATGAATAAAGTAGAATATTTGGAGAATTTATTTTTTGATTTATCCAATTTTAAGAGAATGCATTGTTAGCTAGAGAATGAAGTAAATAGAATTAGCATTTTTTCCTAATCAACTGTAGTTGGAATATTATATTGCATATTTATTTCATCAAATTTCAAAATTCATTATTTACTTTGATAAATACAATACGTAATAATCATAGATGATGCAGTAATTATTATGCTCTATCACGCTAGCACACAATACAAAAGTATGAACTTCATATAGACTATTGATATCCATCCATTCATGATCATTATCATTACTATAAACTGTAATAAAAATGACTTTATTTTCAAGAGAATTACTACAGATAGTATAAAAAAACTAGAAAAAGGGAGTATTTACTGTAACAGTGAAAAATTATCAATAAGATTACACAGACAAATCTTTGCATTGATTACATAATGTATTTACACTCGTTAAATCTTCGTTCATACTCAGTATATATTAATATAACATGTTTCAAGGCTAGGTGAATTGAATACAAACGTGAACTGCGTACTCGTTATTTTCTTCATTTCCAATGAAAATTTATCTTTAATATTGGCTATTATATGGTTATAATTTTATGTAATCACATTTCGAATGAAATTATTAATAAATTTTAAATCAATACTTCTGCAAAACTAGGCCACGAATCAAATAAAATTCGGTTGATTTTATAAAATAAACTAAATAATAGAATTCAATAAAACCATTTTTGTGTATTAATCAAAGCACTTATCATGATAACTAAACAATCATTCCGGATCGCTAAATTGAATGGAAACATTTCAAGTATAATTACTGATGTAGAGTCAGCAGTAGATTGTCATTAATTGATTCATGAACCTCTCTATGATGACCACTGCAATGTTGCCTTTAAATTCAAATAAATACTTAAAAACAGCAGAGCAGAAATTTTATTTGAAAAAAAAACCTAATGGAATATTTCTTTTTTTGAAAAATTTAATTAGAAATAATATCTATTTAAATGGAATAAATTCCAAGGTTTATACAGAATCAATAATGTAAAAATTTATTTCCTAGTACCTATTCTCAGAAAGAAAAATTGCCAACTATTTTACTAATATCAAATTAAAAAGATAGATCAATGTTTTTTAATCACATTTATTTAATTAATTTTCTTTAGCACAATGCCCTCTGACAGTATGGATGACATTGAATTGAAGAATATCCAACTTCAATTCCCTAGCTTAAGATACCTCACGAAGGATGATGGTTCAGTAAGAGAAGAAAGAGTTGAAACGGATCGAGGGAGTATTTTGGTTGCTGTTCAAGGAAATCGTTCTAAACCTGCCATTCTTACGTATCATGATCTAGGCCTTAATTGTAAGTGAATTAATTAAATGAATAGCTTGTCTAATAAATGGGTTTCAAATGCTGTTCAAGTTTTAATTATGTTGTTCTAATTTCTAGATATTTCAAGTTTTCAAGCGTTCTTCAATTACATCGACATGCGAGTGTTGCTGGAAAATTTCTGTGTTTATCATGTGAATGCACCAGGTCAGGAAGAAGGAGCACCAACATTATCCGAAGAGTAAGTTGAATAAAATACATTTAACTGTAATTTAATAAACAATCAATTATCTAATCAGTTAAACTGAGCTGATATAACTACATACTCTGTACTTGATGATCTTGATTGAGGAAGTGAGTCTTTAATATTTACCTTGATTCTTATGTCAAGGTAAATTTAAAAAACGAATATACATATGACTTTCAAATAGAATCAAATAAGCTCTAAAGTTGAGTAAACATTTCAAAATAATTTGTTTACTAATAAAATCCATTTAAATATTTTTCCAATTTATTTTTACATGAATAAATATGTCACTTTTTAAAAAAAAAACTTGTCAAGTAAATTATTCATACTTGTTTACTCTAGTTTAGAGAAAAATCAATATGAAATCAACTAAATTGAATAATAATTTACAGTTATGTCTATCCTACTATGGACGAGCTAGCAGAACAGTTGTTATTTGTCTTGGGTCACTTTGGATTGAAATCGGTTATTGGTTTTGGCGTCGGAGTTGGAGCAAACATTTTGGCGAGATTTGCTCTAGCCCATCCTAATAAAGTAAACGCCCTGTGCCTCATAAATTGTGTCTCAACACAAGCAGGATGGATCGAATGGGGTTATCAAAAATTAAACGTTCGTCATCTAAGATCACAGGGAATGACTCAAGGTGTATTAGATTATTTAATGTGGCATCATTTTGGACGGGTAAATATGATTTGTTTCTTCTCTGAATTGTTACTAATTCTTTGTTCTAATCAATGACGAATATTCTAGGGCACTGAAGAGAGAAATCATGACCTCGTTCAGGTTTATACCAATTATTTCGAACGTAAAGTAAATCCAATCAACCTAGCCCTGTTTATCGATAGTTATGTACGACGCACAGATTTAAATATTACACGAGAATTAGATCCCACGCGCAAAAAGGAAGGCTCTACTCTCAGTGTACCTGTAATTAATATTACTGGAGCTTTAAGTCCTCATGTTGATGATACTGTAACGCTCAATGGACGATTAGATCCAACTAACAGTTCATGGATGAAGGTAATCCTATTTTAATACATAACATAAACATTAACACTATCAAAAGAATTGTTTCTAATAATTATTGTAATTTTTAGATTTCGGATTGTGGTATGGTTCTTGAAGAACAACCAGGAAAAGTTAGTGAAGCATTTCGGTTGTTCCTTCAGGGTGAAGGCTATGGTAAGTGAATGTTTTAACATTTAAAGAATATTAATAAAATATTAATTATTACTAATAAAATAAAATTATTATTATGAAACAAACAGTAGTAAAAATATAAATGGACGTGTAGACATGAATTCAGTTAATCTCAATGTCTTTCACATTTTTGTGGTTGAATATACGTAGTGCGAGACAAAAATTTTGATGTCTTTCAATGTTAAATGTAAATGGAAAAAACTCCCGTATTGATGTTTCATAATTAAATTTAATTAATTAATTAATTAACGATGAAAAACATTGACGAATTATAGGTTCAAATACATAGGTTACTGTTTTAAATAATTGATGTAAACATTATCAAACTAGTGCTAAGTTACCTAAATTTATACTTGTAATTAAAATCATTAATTACTATCGTTAATATCAATCACATCAATTTTAAATTGGCCTAAAAAATGTTTGAATATTTTTTTTTACTCTTTAGTAATTATAAAAATAGTAGTCAGAGTTAAATATATATAATAAGTAGAATTATTCTAAACTAAAACAGATTTTATTAAAATTCATCAATTGAGTTGTCATTTAATATCATATGAATTTATATATATATAAAAAAAAAAGAATAATAAATGAGAAATTAATTAGTATTTAGTGCTATTGCCTGATCAGTTTCATATTTGGAAATATTTTTGTTCCTTATGAAATTATAATTATTCTTTTGGCTTTTTTTTTGTCACTAATTTACACTACCTGCACTTGACACTCAACATTGACTACACTTGAATAATTCGTTCAAGATTTCATATTTAAATACAGTTGGTACTGTATAATTAATTTATCTAATATGATAAACCAATAGGAATCTCATAATATTGAGATTTATACTAGAAACACTTTGTATTTAACTTCACTGTAATTATTAATATTCTCTATAATTGAAGTGAAAAAAATATAAAAACAAAATTTGTTCATCAATTTGCGCCTTTATTTCCCACGCGTCTCGGATCGATCGAGTGGTATGTATATTTGAATAAAAAAAACATGTTTAACACAAATAGCATAAAATAGAGGTCATCGTTTTTTTATTTAAGCTTATTAGCTCAGAATTGCTTGATTATTTTTCGTAATCTTTTCGCGTTTACATGTTTTTACTATTACTATCACTTATGCGTGTTTACAGTCACAAGTCATCATGCATCAAGATTCTCTTCAAAGCACTACCAAATATTTTAAAGCTTTTGTTTCGTCGTTACTATTTTATATTATTATTTATCATTTTGTTCTTATCATTTATTATTTGTTGGTTAAAAATTATCTTTCATTTTTCATGCATTTTAGTGGTGAAAAGTTCGCGGAAGCCGCTGACGCCTACAGCATCCGAAGGTAATTGTAATTAGGAATTGAAGCAGCAAGGAACTGACCAATGCCAATGGCCAATTTAGAGGCCATATCTAATTGTTAAGTAAGTCGGAATTCAAAATATTATCGGGTTGTGGAAAGCTCTGATTAATCATCGAATGCTGGAAAATTATTTAATAACGCAACCGGCTGAATAGTTTAAATTATAAAAGCTAACTGATTGTTAATATGGTAATTTCTTAATTATTTATTAAACTAAAAACGAAGAGGATTAAATATTACACTAGAAAATAATAAAAAGAGTTGTTTTTAATAATCAAAATAATTTATGAAGAAAAAATTATTTGATTGATAACTTACAGCTTGAATTGAACTAAGATCAATAGCCTATTCTGTACAAGTTTAACAAATATTTCTAGTCAACTGACCAACTACTACTTTACTCTGGTGTGTGGCCAACTAAACTCTACACTGGTACACTCATCTTGGTTAATATAATTGATTTTTAAATAAATTTTACTTCCTGTTTCTTTATTTGAGCATTAAAATGAAAAAAACTTTCAAGAACAAAGTTATTTAATTTTTTTAATATGTTTTCAAATGTATAGGCTCGGACTGAAGCAAATAATGTATAAAAACATAATAAATAACCTTTTATGCTGAATAAAACTAGTGTTTCCCTTTATAATGCGGCATTCGACAGTGGTAGGAGATTTTTAGTAAAATTTTTCTAATGTGACATAAAGCTATTCATATACAGCGTTATTGCACCATGTAGTTTATAGACAGACTTTCAGTTCACATAATAGTTTATTTTTACAAATACTCATATTGATGACAAAATGTGTATATAAATATTGATGCACATAACAAAAGAAAACACTTACACATCAATTATTATTATTATCCTTTTACTTTGCATGTTGGCTTGTCTTTGGTTTATTCATAAACTAAATGTGTTATTGATGACCATTTTGAGTTGTGATAATTGACATGTATTGTTTTCATAACTCTAATTAATGATGTGAAACTATTGATACATTATTATTATTGGAATCAATATACCAATTGAATAGATGGAAATAATGATCATTATTATAATTTATCATTAATCAAAGAAATTGGATAATAAATTACTGTATTAAACAAAGTTGTTTTTTTATTTTCTTTTCAGCGGCTCCACTATCTCCGTTAAAAATGGCCGATTATCGTCTGGCCTCATTAGAAGGGTTAAATCACATTTGTACTAAAAGATTTGACTGGCCTACAGCTGCTATTCACATCACCGAAAATCCTATATCTGAAGCAGTCGTTTGTTAAGATATTCGAGACTTTTAAAGTCCTATACATTACCAATTTAAACAATAATTAAATTGGATATCACAACTGGGAGATTTTAAACTCAATTTTTTATTATTATTTATTTAATTCTTTATTTTGGTCTCAGGAATGGTTTCGTCTGTATACAACGATATTAAACTGCGATCAAGTATTTGTCGAATAAGAGAGCAACGAGACACAATCATACTAATATAACATGTTCAACTAAAATTAATATCAACATTTAAACCTGAAATGTTTACAAATATTCGTAAAGACTTGATAACAAGAACAAATCTTAATTTATATAGTTTAAGAGAAACAAAGTCATTGTAATTATTACAAATTTACATATGTTTTAAAACATAATCTGGCCTACTAAAATTTTACACAAATGGACAAACCATATCTGTATGGATCAAGAATAATTCATATCGTGAAAAAATATTTTATTAATTAATTAATTTTAACTTTTTTTGTGTTACACTGAAATAAAATAATTATTAATGCAAATACAAATAATAATAATAATAATTCTTTTTCAGTGTAACTCATTTTTATTTTAAAATATCTTTAGACCTGTGTATTTTAAAGAATTTTTTTCTAGTTTGGAGTATGTGCACTTCTTGCACTGATTTTTATTTCTCAAGAAAAAATTCCAAAAAAAAAAATGAAAAAAAAACAACGTTAAAAACTTATAAAGTTATAGTTAAATAGGTTAGTTAATTTACAAGTTAAATTAAAGAATGCGTCGTAAAATTAGTCAAGATTATTTGATAGATTTCAATTAAATTTTTGCGAGATTTTCCCAAATCTCTAGAGTGATATACTAAACCGTGCCTGCATTTGAATATAAATTTTTTCTTGATTGATGAAACTTAAAATTGATATAAGTTAAGCAATAATTTATTATTTGATAATTTTTTTCCCTGTTAAGAATTGAATTTTATAATTTTTTTAATCTTGTCTTTGTATATTTTTGGTTATCCTATTAATTGCGCTGATATACGAGCACTAAACATGAACTGCTGACACTGATGTGCATACGTGTTTGATTTCATCAGTAAAATGATATTTTGAAGTTGCTGATAGTGCAAAAAGCAAGCAAATTAAGCGATGAATTCATAAGGAATAATCTAGTTATGTTTTTATGATGAGAGATATTTTACACATGTACCAAAATATAAAAAAAAAAAAAAATTATGGAAATATTTGAAATAACAAAAGTTATATTAAAAAGTGGAATAAAATAAATAAAAAATGCAAGCTTCGAATCCTGCATCGGTGGATCTCGGGTTTCTATACATACGTATATGAGCAGCTATCACTGCTAGAATCATAGAATTTGTGCTGCCTTAAATTGAAGAAAAAAATTAAAAAAAAAAAAAAATTCCCGATGCATCATAATAGCTTGGCGCACCGGCGATTAGCAGTTACGACAAGCACTTCAGACACAATAGCGATGTATATTCTTAATTACGTCAGAAAAAAATAAACTGACCAAACAAAAGGAATGCAGAAAATAAGAAGCAGCTAAATGTTTAAATAAATAAATACCAGACGGCAGAGCTTTACTATGAAATTATAAATGATGTCGCGAATTCACCAGTATAATATATACATCTGTTATTTGTAATAAATGAACAAAAAAAATAAAAAAATTTATTCGAAATTTAATTTTTTTACTACTACTTTCATTAAATGAGAACTTTATTATATTTATCACCAATAATTAAGTACTCAAAAAATAATTAAACTCCAATTTCCGCTCAAACGTTTCATGAAGTAAAGTAAGAATTTAAAAAGATGTAGATCACTACTATTGAGTCATCCATTTAAATATGAATAAAGTAAATATTAACAATTATAATAATGCTTCAATTCTTCTATTTGATATTGATAATAATAAATAATTGACTTTTACATATTTGTAAAGAAGTAGCATCACGTCTGCCTATCAAGAAGCAAGCGTCTCACAACTTGTTTTTCTGACCTTGTATTTTCTCTTATATGTCTTTTGTATGAACTCACCGATTCATGCACCGAGGAAAACCAGTCCTGTTATGTTTTGCACACGAAGGGGAAGACAGTCAAGATTTTTACAACGATAAAACGATTGGCGAAGCAGGCAGCAGTGGATATAATATTTGATCTCACACATACATATCCTATATATTACGTCTTATATTAGTAGAATCATAACACAGCACTAGCGTCTTTTTCTCGGTAAACTTCGGAAATCTTCGTTATTTCTCGTAAGACAACGCCACCTGAAGCGCATGCGTCAAAGTTCTACAGTCACTGACAAGACGCGCGTATTCTCGACTCGACCATCGCGCGTGAGTGTGTACGGAGTGCGGCGTGCGTTTATTTAATGTGTTTTGTTCATTATTTTTATTCAAATTATCGAGAAAATATGACACTTTTGTTAATTATTTAGGTCAGTTTTACGTAATCAAAACATCAGAGTAAAGTTTGAAATTGAAATAGGCATAAACGTATTATATTGTGAACTCATGACAAAATACTCCAAAAAATAAAAAACAAAGAAAGTGTATACTTTTTTGGATTCAAATGTATAATAATCAACAACGTGAATTCAAGTGAGTAATGATGTGTGACGCAATGGAATTAGACACATGTAAATGTTGAAAGGGCTGAGGTAGACGCACGACAGGTGGTTGTTTTTCATCGCAGGAAACATTACTACTTACTTTACGACACCTTGTAAGGTGCAACAGAGTGAAATCATAAAAAGTGCTGTGGTTTCACCAAGTGCTTGTAAGTGATATGCCTTGTTTCCCGTTATTTATGTGGAGGTAGTTGTTACCGGAGACCACCAACAAGTCCTGGATAACGACTAGAAGATGGCAAGAATCAAAACCTTTGGGATTTGCTTACTCTTGGTTATAGCTGATTTTGTAACCAATGCAGATGTTATTGAAGAAAGAGGTGAGCTAGTGATCAAAATAAATTCAATCACTAAACCCATACACCATATTTATGATTACTTATTGCAGTTATGTCTTAAGAAATTTTATTCCTTGATACGTTTAAACACAACGACTATATTCATTTGATTATGTACTTATCGCTGTATAGTACTTTTGAGATAACTTAAAAGAATTCTGATAAATAATCATTGAGTATTATGATAACGTTAAGTAATTTAAGAAAAATTCTTATTTCAAAATAAATTCTAAAAATACATAGAACTCAGAAGTATTTATTGATTAATAGAATTTATGAGTTGAATAGAATAAAACAAAGTGTCGATATTATTTTAGATATTTCTATCAAATGACATTGATAATAAATTCAAATTAAAACTTTTAATTAAACTATTATTTAGGAAGTATGTAATGAGTTTTATTGACAAGATGGTTTTTTTTTTTTTTAGTTGCAATGTGGTTCTCAGCTAAGATAATAGACAATAGATAACTAACGATACTCACATACTATGTAATTCATTAGAATCAAGAAGGATAATTTTGTTTTGTCTCAAGACTCCAGCACACACACTTGCCATTGGTTAAATATATCTTGTTAAACGGTTAATTAGGTCTTTATAAGATGTACTCGTCCGCGAAGCTCACAGAGTAGGAGAATTCTGTTTAGTTTACTTTTTATAAAGCAACTCATAAACACTCTTATGGCTTGGTAGGAAATTTAAGAAATTTTTCTTTTTACTGAAAAAATGTATATGGCTACAAAGTGCATAGTAAACGGAATACCTTGGACTATCTTCTTACTTGTCTTGCTCTCTCACATTGTATCTACCTTTCTCGTTCTACTTCACCAAGGAAAGGCGCATAGAATGGCATAGACAGAGGAGCGGTATTCAGCCAAGCATAAAGTCTGAATCCAAGTCTGTAAACTTATACAAGTATATACGCTACCTTTACTATATACTCTCAGAGAATAGAAGAAAATGTCTAAAGACTTTTTTTTTGTCTCCCTCTCGAATTCTCTGTCAGTTTTACTACCTTTTTCTTCTTTTCCAATTCGTCAGAGTGTGACTTTTGTCAAGTATAAATCTTCAAATACGTTGCTCAATTTTACCATTTTTCTACTTTCTATACATACGTATAGAAAATTAAAACTCATTGTTGAGGTTTTTTTTTTTAATATTTTGGCTGGACAAAGAACTACATATCACACTTGAACATCAAAAACTTTGAGATTTTCAAGAATATTTATATCAATAAAAATTAACCGTAGCATGTGAGAAAGAGAGCAAACAATAATAGTATTAAGAAGCATAACCGATGAGCGGTGAGGTGAATGTATGCACTCTTAACTTTGATTGCTGTCGCAAAGGATAGATAGCTCAATTGCTGTCTCGGCCAGTGCTAAAGTGCGTTTATGATAAATCACGATTGTAAAGTCCATTCGACTCATATAAATCATTATTATTTCTAAATAAATCCAATTTTTGTTACATTCTTGTGACAATGGCAGTTATGTAAGATTAACAGCTGAATAATCATTTATTGTTGAATCATTAACAAGTATTTACTTTTCAATTAAATGTAGAATAAATTAAATGAATAATCTTTATAGTAAAATCAGCAACCGCAATGGATGATTTGTGGCTGATGTGTCATCAACAGCAATCGGCATCGTCATCGAGATTGGTTCAAGTGGTGTTGACCTGGATGAGAGATGCGATGTTGATTCGTGGGAACACGTCACGCATCTTGCCTATCACGTGCTAATTCTTTTATCTTTTAGCTAAATATAAATATTTCATAAGTTATTATTTTTCTAAAATGACAATCAAATCTATTAATTAATCTGCCAAGAATGCTAGATGATGCTGAATAGTAAAGATCTTGATGATGATATTTAGTTCAATTATAAGAATCGCCATACGTGACAATGAATGAAAGATGATGGAATATTAAAAGCTACAGTCGAGTTCCTTGAAAGAAATGAAGAAAAAAAGTAAGAGTATTTTTTTCTCCAGGTTTTTAATCAGACAATTAACTAATAAATATTTAAAAGCTAAATGTATTCTTTGGAACAATCATGACCATAAAAGTATTATCATAATACTTTCTAACATTCTTTAGTTTGTAAAATGATAAAAATTATCTGTTGTGGTATAGATTACAAATATAATTGCAGATATATTATTTTTTTTTGTTCTACATCTAGAATTTTATTCAAAGTAAAATAAATGTAAATTCAGCAAAAATGACTTGAAGGAAAAATCATCCAACTTTTAATTTGAGTACTTTCAAGTAAAACGGAGAAGTGGCAACTCTGCAAAGGTACAGAGAATGGAATTCATTTGGCTTTCAGGAAAAAAGAACGCCCTGTCGAGAAGGTTTAGACACGGGGGTCTAACCTGCACAATCCTATTTATCGGAATACTGTCCCAATCGTCGATGCTAGAAGGTTCACAAACCAAAGGAAAATATATCTCTAATAACTACAAAGGCAAGAATTTTTTTTTAAAGCCTGAATTAAAAAACCTAAAGAAATTATTTTCATCTATGTTTCAATAATCAAAGGATCTATTATTGGATCATCTTCTGATTTTAGAAACCTTTGTTTATAAAATACTATCTAAACAATAAAACATATCTTTCTTCAAATATCCATCATTGTTGATGATTTAGGTGTTGCTTCTTTATAATCTCTTTTAAACATGTTTCTAAATAATTTAATTTCAATGACATGTTTATTTGAGTTCATAATAGTCTAAGACATGTTACGAATAAATTCTTTGAAAGGGTTGGATGTAATGAGAGGGAAAGATTATGTTCTCATACAAAAGTGCATTATGCTACACAGATTTTAATCCTTTTGATAGCAAAGGTAACATAATTTGGCCTTCAATTAAATCGAGACGATTCACAAAACGGAAGTAGAATATACACGCTAAACCTAGCAGTTGCTCTTGAATGATCAGCAAGTTCAAAGCCCCTTGATACCGATAGTAACCCTGATGTGTCTTTATACTTGCCGATCTAAAGAAGCCAACGGATGCTTCTCGTTTACAATCTTTTTTATCGAGCATTGACACTACTAATCTGCTCAAGAAATTCATAAACATGATGCCCATTTAATTCTTTAAACAGTTTAACACTTGTAGAGTCCAGGAGAAATGCTTTATTCAAACATCAATATGTTTGGCTTATCAGATCGATTTATTTTTAGATATTTTTCGTGTAATTGCATAAGACATTCAGTGATGATTTATATACTTGATAAATGTCCACATACTACTCTTTACATCGTTTTTATAGCTTTGTAAAGTGATTCCATAAGTTAGAGCTGCTGCGGTTGCTGCGAGACGGTAAAGTTAATTGAGGTTGATGAGGGGGGCACGCGTATTGGCCCGGAATTCAATGCTCAAATGATGTTTCACACTTGGATATACGTCAAGATGTTTTATTCAATTTAAATATCCAAGAAAATCGATTGTTATCTTTTTTTTTCCAGAAAAAAAATGATGTTTGATGACTTTTTTTTTAATTGGTGTTGAAATGATAATTTGATGATGAATCATTTAATACTTTGGTAATTTTGTTTTAATAAATAATTACTGTCAATATACGATAAATGAGCTGACAGTGGCATGAAAAGAACCTGGAACAATATAATAAAATTTTATTGGAATGAATCTGATGAATTTGCTCCAAATTATATAATTAATTCATTTATTCTGAATGAGAACCCATGACTTAAAGTACCTCGTAAATATTTTTCTTTCTTAATTTATTATCATTTTTTTTATTTTTAATCAATTCTTTTAATATTTTCAATAACATTTGTTGAAATAAACATTACTCTTTTTGGAGTACTTTTTTTCTATTCAATTTTCTTTTTTCCTGTAAAACCAGATATTTGTTTATTTTTATTATAATTATTTCTCATAAAATAAATTTATAAATAAAACTATAAATTAAAATAATCATCAAGAATTCTTTACCATGACATACCGGTTTTTATAGAATTTTTTCCACATTTATAATTATCAGAAAATACTTGAGTTGTTGTAAAATTTATGACTGAGCATTTTTCTTTGAATACTTTCCAATATTTATTTATTGATTCTTCTTCATTGTCTTTCATTATTGGTTATAAAATATTACCTTGTAATTGACAACGTCATAATAAACTTGAGTAATTAAATAAACAATTGAATTTTATTGAAATAATATAACCTAAATATTGGTTCCAAGTAAAAGCAGAATCCGGTATGCATATGAAAACTAAAAGTAAAAAAGTATAAGCAATAAAAAATATTCAAGGCTTTTTCTGAAAATACTTTAGTATACAACCGTTGAAAATTGCGTGCAGTGGTTACACACACTGCGAGAACCTTCTTTGATATTGAGTTTCGCATCCATCCTTATGGGTTCTACCTTTAGTATTCCTTTTTCTCATCTTTTTTCTCCTTTTTTTCTCATCATTATTATTCTTTTCCCTTCGTATATACTCCCTGTATACATATTCTATCTCATTCAGGTATGTAATAACCATGCAGTTTCCCAGTACGTCTTGAATGAACGAAGATTGCATGTTCCTCACCAAGAGCTCGAGCCAGTCTTTCTTTTACTCTGTCTTACATATGCCTTTATAATTCTTCCACTTTTTTTAATCATTCAAACCTTCTTCCATCTTTCATTTCTTATTTTAATTCATTTTATGTTATTTTATTTCCCAATTTTTTTACATTCAGGAATGAACAAAAATATACTCTATAACTGCATCTTTTCATCCTGTTTTAAATTCAATTACAATTATCATTCACGCCCAACGGAAATGATAATTAATACTACGGTTATTGATAAAACTGGAGATACTTAAAATCCGGAAATCAAATAAATTTTATCATGGGAATACAATTTTAATTTTTAGAATTAAACTTGAACTCATAAAGAACTGGTGTAGAACCTGAGAGCTTAAGACGATGATAAAGACTGAAAAAGAAGATAAAAGAGCTGCTCAGGCTCTGGTTTTACCATACCTGGCTTGTGCATAGCTCTCCCAAGAAAACAGCCCAGATATGTCTCCGCGCGCAGAGACATGACAAGGTCGGGGTACAATCAAAGCCAGAGAATCGTATATTCTCCGATACTTGGCCGCGAGCGTCGTTGTTGTTGGGGTGAACGTCCACAGAGAGACTGGATGAACAAGTGAACTCGGCCGCTCTTAAAAGTACTATACTCCAGCCATGTACATTGTTGTATAATATAGAAACACGTTTTATTGCATTTTCTATGAAACTTTCAATTCCAATGAATTTATTAAAACACAAGAATTTTATTTTTTCTTAATCCACCCATCCATTTAATCAGGCTCTAAAGAAAGGATTTTATAAACAATGATATTCATTTGATATCTATCTGACCACCCATTTCGTACCCTTTTTATATTACGTGAAGGTAAACATGCTTACCAGCATGTAAAATGAAGAGGTCCCTCAAATATCTAGTCTATATAAAAGTTGAAGAGAGCACCTGGATATAGCGTTACACGACCTGATGAGCTCTCAGTATTATTATATGTGTAAGAAGAACTGAGATGGGAACGGAAGAGACGACAAAGTCCTACTTTTACTCCGGAATTGGTATAGACTTGGGCTCTTGAGCAACAATAATTACCCGAGAGCCTTAAACTTCATCTAATAAAACAATTTAAATAAATTTAATACCAAAATTTAGAATTCAGCAGAAGATAAAATTGTAAATTCACATAATTTAGTTAATTATTGACAAATTTAGAGAAAAAATTTGTATATGATAATTTTTTACGACCTCCTCCGGCATGCTGATCAAAGAAATGAATTTATGTTAGACTAATGAGAATTTCAATGTGTACACTCGCGAAAAAAGTTCCCATGTGTATGTTATACAAATAACAGATGCTATATAGCCTTTTTTTAAAATCATCTTCTATATTACGTTTTTTATCAGTTAATTTAATATAAGTAATTAATTAATCCAGCCCATAAGCTATATTTCTATCTCTTGATTAGTTCCAACTATTGATTTTGTTAATAATTCATTGATTAAGATATCAGTTTCAATTTTTTCCAACCAAATTGGTGATGGTCCATATGGTTTATTTTACTGTCTTCTTACGCCCTCAGCACATGTTCTCCAAATGCCCAATTAAAAGCTCAATTTCCCACGCTCTGAATGTTAAATCACAAGCGTGAAAATTCCTGATAGTTAAACGGTAATGAGAAGTACAAATGCCTGGTAAAAATTTACCATACGCAATAGAGATTTATGGTAAACCTTCTAAAAAAAACCTATCTATTATTAAACATATAAAAAAATCCATTTGTCTTTTAAAGTAGTAGTCATGTTAATCTATTGGAAATGGAAATAATGGGGATGTAAAGAAGAACAAAAAAATACCAGGTGTACTTCTTCAAGATCATATTGGTTATTTCTCTAGTGAATTTTTAATATACATATATAGATGAGAACCCGGAAGCAGGATCTCCTCACAAGGACGCACGTCCTGTTTCGAGGATCTCTCTCATATCATCTCTCTCTCTTTTCTACATCATCTCTTCCGCTCACATGCTATAGGTGAGCATCAGCTGCTCTTTAGGCGAATATTTTGTGGAAAAATCAAAGGCTTTGCAATAGAGAATCTCTAACCATGATCTGAGATTATATATCAATTATAACGTACTAGAAAGTAGACATTTCACTTCCGTCTTGATCTAGTTCATAGACATATGTCACATAAATGTTATTCAGAGTCAAAATAAATTTTATCTTTTCTTTGGTTCAGAAGGGGAACCAAAATGCAAAGAAAATGGCTAAAGCTTCCCAGCGTGAGAGAAATTTTACCTACTCGTGGTACAACACCTTTTTCAATTTCTCTCATTCTTTTTTATATACAATATAGTCTGTGTTATTCAAGCTCTGTGATGTTCTTGCTCCTTTATTAAAGAGAAGACTCCTGACAGTATACCTGTAGTTCTTTAAAACATCCCACGCTTCAGATGATACGCAGGTGCTCCAAACTTTCCTAAACATAGTATACAAATTGTCAATAATTCTGTTTATTTCAGTAAATGGTTGGTTTAATGCTTAATAAATTGTTTACTTAATATTTAATACCATTTAAATAAGTTTGAAGAAGATAAGAAAAATACTTGTTTACCTTTTGTGCCCTTTATGGTTCACTTAAATATGCATTTAAATAATAGTATTTCTCACAGGCTCTTTAGTAAGCAAAATAATCGAGACTTTCTACTATATGCAACTTTGAATGGTATGGGACGCTGCACGGCATCCTTATTCTCATCACCACATGGCCAACTACGCGCCTACCCACTTCTCAGCATATGTTTCAAACCACTTTTCTTCACTGGGTTGCTGCTGTATTCTCTCACGACTTTTTCTATTCACGCAATATCATGCCCTCTGCAACCTTGTGCACTTCATTTGTTGCGGAAAAAATTGAGAAATTTTCCATTTTAGTTCATTTACTTAGTTACAAAAATGATCAATGAGAGAAAAACATAATGAAAATATTACATTCAAGGTATTTTACTTGAATATTATTGCAATTTAAATTTATTTAAATGGTTTGAATAAGAAAGTTTGTTATAAAAGTTGAATTAATGATTAAAAAATTTTTGTTGTTGGCTAATTATTATAATTAATTCTAAGTAAAATAGAAACTGAAATAATAATATATTTATGAAACACAATATCGACCAAGGAAACAACTTTACATCTACGTAACATCCACGCAAACTTTCTCTTATTATTATGTTTATTTTACTTTGCTTAGAATTGCATCTTGCAAAATACCTTTGCACAGAAAGTCCATTTTAGCTCGGTCAATAAAACAGAGACTTGTGGGGAAATATTAGCTTAATTCACTGTCGGTAAAGTACATCACTTTCGAAGATATATTACCAATCAAGCTTGGCATTTTCTTTACCATCATGGACCAACCATTTTTTTTTCCTAACGGTCGAAACGGTGTAAACATTCCTAAAAATACAAAAAATATTGGATTTTTACTTTTTTTTTGCTTATTATTAATGGATAAAAACAATGTAAATTGTCTTCGACATCTGTGTCGATGTCTTTTATAAGTTTTGTTAGTTTAATCGTGCATTCTAAATGTCATGTGATCATCATATGTCACCTTCTACGAAGAAGTAGTTCTTACAACAAAAATTAAAGCATAAAATGCAGGCTAGAGAAAGGGTCGGTGGCCTTTTGCATCGGGATCACGACCCCGAGGTAATATTGCCTAACGCTAAGCTAAAAAAAGTTTAAAGTTTTCAGCAAGAAGAGCTGAATAAATTTGTAACCAAACATATTCGAGTTTGGCCTGACTCTATTTAGTTAATCAGCTGATTTAGGATACAAACAAACCCAATAAAGTTTTGGATTTATTTGTCATTTTGAATTTTATCAATTAAAATTAGAATAAACAAGTATAAAATTAAGTTTCGAAGGTTATGTGACGATGACCTATTGGAAATCACATTAATTACTATTCCAGATAAAGTATTGTTTTGTATCGATGAAGTCACTTGGGGTTTCATTAAAATTCTCTTGGCCGTTTAAATTTCATTAAGTGTACCTGGACAGACCAATGGCTTGATTGTCTATTGTGTTATCTTTAAAATTAAATATTTAATCATGGATAAAATCAATAATGATAAAACTTACTAGAGAAAAAACTAACTTAATTGAGAGATCTCAATCTCATGTACCACTATCAACTAATATCTATAAGTAATTAATCTACGTGTTAAGATATTGATAAGATAGTTGATAATAATTTTTTCTAATTTAATATTTTTTTTCTTTCAGGTGAGTAAAACAATAACAATTAAACAATTGATACTTGGAGCCGAATAAAGTGGATATAAATGTACTGAAACAGGTATGCTTTTTACAATAAGTAAAAGTTTAAAACAAAAGTATATTCAGTGTGCAAAAAAAAAACAAAAAGAAAAAATAATAATATTCGTACCTTTAAGTTTAAATTATTCAGTGTCCAGTCTATCAGATTGAGTAACGTACCCACTGTCAATTTATTCCTTTTCAAGCCGAAAGAGAGAGTGGGCTGATAGATTCAACGAACAGATAGGCCCCGCGGTCGAAAAACAGTCGAAAAGCATCCTCTCACGTTCGTTCTCGTTTTACAAGTTGTCTTACAAGATTGAAGCAGGAGACCTCCGAAGTTGATAGTAAACCCCAACGAATCTTTGAGAAATCATCGCAAGAATATTTTATATGGTTGAAAATAACATGTCTTTTTTTTATTAGGTACTTTAACACTAATTTAAATAAAAGTTTTTCAAGAAAAAATCAACATTCCAGGTCTTCACTATTATCTTGTTTTTAATTGTCTTCACCACGCAATATTATAATAATACAAAATATTTTAACAATTTCGTGTCTTCTTTGAATAATAACTTTATATATCTATAAATCAAGATAAAAATTCACTAGTAAAACTATAAAACTAAGCTATTAATAATAACAATAACAGTAAAACCGCAGATCTTTTTTAATCATACACTCTGTCGATAGTTTTTTAATGTTCCTAGAAATAATATTAAATAATTATAGTAATACTATTTATTTATTAGTTAGTTATTTAAAAGTGATAGCAGTAGGATCTACTGAGTAGAAAATGCATTCTTTAAAGCTCGTAAAAATAATTATTTCAACGAAATATTCCCAAGATACGTTTATTCCCAAGTAAAGTGCTTCAGGTCTCTCTGGATTCCCTGCTGAGCCAAAGGTATTTTCTCCATCTTCTTTTCCTTCTTCTTTTATATTATTTCTTTTTTCTTTAAACAAAACCAACGCGTGTCTCGGCGGCGGCGAGTGCTCCTAACGATACGAGCAGAAGATTCTTTTGTCTCTCAAATAACCTAGGCTCTTCAGGTAAGATCCTATCTGGCATAAATAATTATCCCTACAGTTTTACAGAAGACCTGAGGACGTCGCGAATGCCAAAAGAGCTTCTCCCTTATTTTATTTTATGTATGTTTATTGTGCAATGAGTATAGTTGAATTAAAATTTAGTTGTCAAACATTGGGAATATTTCAAAGGACTGTTCCACGGTATTCAATTATTTGGTATCGTAAAAAATGATAGTTGTTCCTGGGAATTTTGGATCATTAAAGTTGAAATAAACCTCACCATATACCATATGGTAGAGTTAATTATTATTATAAAATCAATTAGATGGATAAATGCCATTTACTTATGGAAGTAAGAAGGTCAAGTTCTCAGTTCTCGTGAAATTATAAAGATGTAAAATCAGCAAAAGCATCATCATTAACATCAGGTTGACATACATTATTTTACTTGGAAAAAGAAATTATCGTTAAAAATAAAAATTAGTCATTTAGTTATTGCTGGAATACTTACAAAGATGGTGATTTGTTCTTTTCCTTTTAGGAACTTAAGTTGAAAATTTACACATTAAAGCTTTGATAGATGAAAACATCTATTGTATATAATTTCGATTTCTTAGGAGGTTTATTCATGCATTGTTATTCATTTGGTTTTTAATATACATAATAATTTGTTTTTATTTGTATGTATGAACAATCAAGTTAGTTGTTATGAAACTAATTCATGAACAAGCATATTGAATTATAACTGGGTATGTATTTTCATAGAATTACAGTTAACTTGACGAGTCAGAAAGAAGCCAGTCACTTTAATGTTTTTATCGTGCTCACGTATTAAATCTCAACAATGACAAATTAATCTGTTGACATATACGTACATACTTGTACCATTTCACCTACGTTATTTAAAAAAAAAACTCTCTATTTATAAATGTATAATCCACCACCCACATATAACTTAATTATACATTATTTATATGGAGATATTTTGGAGTCAAATTAAACATTCTACAATAATTATCATATTAGAAACTTTTTATACATCCAATTTGAACAACAAGATCTATATTGTTATAAAAGTAGTTTAAAATTTCACGATATAGAAAGAAAACAGATGGAAGTCAATGGATAATCCTACCCACTAACGGCTTTAGAACATCCACGAAGTGAGAACTGAACCTTTAGCTTCTTCTGTCGAAATTTACTCATATTGTTCTCTGCATGTAATCTCTGTTGCTATAATGCTTAGTTGGAAATGAAATATACATGACTGACAGACCTGGAGGAAGATGGTTGGTTCTTCACAAGCGCTGATCCGCCCAACATTGTCCTGGGAAATGGTCAAATCGTCAAACCACTTATGGGTAACAATACTGGCACCACAGGGGTGAAGCTGAATCTAAATTCCCAGTGAAGCCTGGAAAGGTCAAAAAGGGCTCTTCATTTAAGAATCAAAAATTTAGACTGAAAATTTAGAAAGGTACAAAGAGGCAAACTGTTCAAGAGGTCAGGCCACATGACATATAATAATGCTATCGATGCTGGATCCCAAACTCCAAAATAAAAGCACCTGCTATTTGAATACCCAAGATATCCTCAACTACATACATAGGGAAGCTATTCTTAACAAAAGACCTTGAAGGAAATAAAAGAAATCGAATTTGAGTGCTCGACTCTGCCATTTTATATTCGATTTAGTATTATGATAATTATTTCACATCTGTTAAATTACTATTTAATTGTGGATTGAAATGGTAAATTAGTAATGGACGGAATTTAAGTTGTTCTAACAATACACATTATTGAAGAAGCAGCAAATGAATGTAAAAATGAAAAATACAAGGAAATATTGCAGAAATGTTGATAGATATGATTGAAAATTCTAAGATAATTTGCTAGCAAGGTCTAATAAGCTCATTTAGATAGTTTATTAGCACTATATTGATTTCTGCAAGATGCAAAGTGCAAATTTGTACCAGAACACTGTTGAGATTGTATATATAGTGAAGAATACCTTCTGCATCAGCTCGAAGCGAATATACAAGGTTGAGAAACGTTGCTTGTGCGCTTGTTTAAAAGAGCAAAGTAGAGGAGTGTGGAGGTCCACAAGGAAGAAACACGGTGAAGGTAAGAAAACCAAGAGAAGGAGAAGAAGATGAAGAAAAAGAACGAAGTGAGGTAGTAGAAGAGAGGTAAAGAGGTATATAATCCAACTATCCAACACTATATTCTCGACCCGCCTGTATATATGCTTGCCTGTCTGTTCAACAAGTCGCTGGAAGAAGTGGAAGAGAAGGTACGCAACGACTGATATACCACGTTGATGGAGATGGTGGTGGTGGAGAAAGGCAGAAAGAGAGGCATAGCTGAGAAAGAGAGATCAGTATACAGCTTGGACTTAGGTCTTAGGTTGTGTGATTGCTCTACAGACTTGATCAGCAACACAAGGTGAGACGTAACACGCGTGGACCAAAAACTTTGGAGCTTTTTTTTTAACTACATTTTTAATACTTGTGACTTTTTATTTTTTTTATTAAAAACAGTTTTTTGTGATAAGTTATTTTTACATGGAATTTTTCTGATATAACAAGTGTTAAAAGTGTTTCAAGAAGAGTTTTATTTCAATTTTTTTTTTACTGCTGATGATGAGTACTACGTGTAAATATATATCGGAGTTTTCTTTTATGTAAACTGTTAACAAATTGATGTGTTAATTTTTCTGTGCACCTCAAACATTTCTATTTTGTGGCTTGAAATATAACTGTGACGATAATTATCTTAAAGTAAATAACAGCAATCAGGACACGAGATTGTTTGTGACAAGTCTGATTTCAAGTGTATGTACACGTGTGTGAGTATGTGGGTGTATAAGAGCTGTCAGTTATCTTAAAAAATTATTCGTTTAGTGCAATATTTATTTTATTTATTATTTTAAACAACTTTTTATCAAAAATAACTTGAATAATTTCCTCTATTGGATGTATATATGAAAATGTAAATAACTGCGTGGTTTTCAAATTGGTGAGTTTGAGTCAGATGCATCTTGTATTTATACATTCTTGTATTTATATATTCTTACTATTGGAAAAAAGAAAAATTGAATATAATCATCATTACATTAGATAGTTAATGACATAGCAATTTAAAGCTGCGTAGGAAAGAAGACTTGAGTAATAGAAGAAAGAAAGTTGAATTTTTAAAATTCATTTATTGAGTGGGCTGGCGTTAATATTTTTCTATAGAATTCAAAAAGAATAGAAAAGTGAAATATTAAAAAATAAAAAAAGAGACATTAACTTAAGTAAAATAGCATATTTTTCTCCGAATTTTAAATGGTCATTGGGATTTAATTACCTGAGGTTTCGCTCATTTATTAGTTATTACGCAAGCATGAAATTTATTCAAAGTCCGCGCGTAGAAGACGACGTCAATTCTTTACAACTATTACTCCTTTAACCTAGCCTCCCAGGATACCTCTCAAAAGGTCCATGTTTACAACACGGTTAGTACCCATGGAGACTTGAACGACTGGATAAGAAACCAGCGGCATGTCGGCTGACGGCAGTTGTCCTTTTCGAAAAACATGTATCTATTTTCTTCTGTGATCTCTTTGGTGTACTTTAGCACGTGACATCTGCTACTTGCTTTGAAACAGGGAAATGGCACTGACAAAAACCGGCCTTTCAAAAAAAAAAAGTTTTTTTAAAGCCTCTTTTTGCAAATTTTTCAAAAGCTAGACTTGACAAAGTTGAACAAAAGGACAATACTCAATACCAGAATGTCGTCGTGTACTAACTGATCGTTTACAAAATTAAGAGAAAAAAATAACAACGATCGTAGTTAGCTACTGAAAACTTGTTTTTGGAGTACAAAAGTTCTGCTTTTAAAAGTAGGTAATTAGTATGCACATACATTGTAAGAGAAAAATATTACAGATAAAAAATCTTTGTAGCTTATGATTATATTTATTGTTTTCTTCAACAATGAACGTGATGTTTGAATAAAATATCCTCTTCAGATTTGTTGGAATTTCTAAAGAGAATATTCATCATTAAATCAATGAACATTCTCTCAACTAGGATGCAATATTCTAGTCATAGCTTATTGCAATATTAGAAAAATCGTTGCACATCATTGGCTCTATCCTTCTCATCCATCTATCCTACCTAAGATGCTGAAAGGTCCTCTCAAGTCCCAATCATGCGAGGGAAAGGCGCCTGACGTCAGCGTCAGGAATGAGGTTAACCCGAAGGTAAAATCGAGCGTTTAATGCACGTGGTACCATTGGCTAGCAACTTCTTATCATTCTTTTAGCTTAGTTTATTTCACTAGTAATTAATTTACTGTAGAAACTGAATTCCTAAACTGCTATACTAGAATTCGATAAAAAACTTCATACCAACTTGTTCCAAGCAACATTGCTTTTGATTATTAGGATTATAACAGATATCAAAGGTGAGCTTGGCGGTGTGAATAAGCATCACGATCCATACTGTAAGAAGGGTCTTCTTTGTTTCTCATTGGTAGAATTGCTGAGAGCACCTTTAAAACTGGATTCTGGATGCACACGAGATTGCCTACCAGGATCTTAGTATACTTGTAAACGTTCTTTACTCTCAGCTATGTTGCTTTTATCTCTCTGTTATTTTCCATGCAATTTAGAGTTAAACTTCAGTCATATTTTCAGCATTCTTATGAATATTATGATAATGATATATTTATGTAGGATAGATAGATGAAGTACTTGAAGGAAAAAGAAAAATGTTCATGTATAGGTTTGTATTAAATTGAAAATTATGCATGACTAGTGATATCAGGTTTTTCATGCTAGTGTCGCGTCAAATTGATAAGTTGACGCCACCAATAGAGAGTGATGACAAATTGTCGATAGGCTAGTTATCCAAGTATTGATATTTATATCAAGGATTTCCTTTTGGTAGATTTGAAATACTGACAATTCTTGCATTTTATATGTTTGATAAATAATTAAAACATTCAATAAATGGATAACATGTAATAGGAATCATTTATATAAATTCTACAATGGTGACATCATCTTAGACTGCGTAGTAAACTGATGTTGACGCGACTTAGATGGAGCGAAAGAGACTGATACAACATTATAATACACATGCTCAACTATCAGGTAGTGCACTGATATAATAAGACATTAATAAAGGATAATTAATGAATCAACAAAATGGAAAGAAAAAAAATCATTTAGTTGATAAAAGTTGTAATGTTGGTTGATAAAAATAAATAAAATAAATATTTAATAATAATAATGGTAGATGAGATAGTTTATTTTATATCTGCATATAAAAGTCTTTTGAATTCTATATTAAAATTCGCAACGCCAGCAACTGTTGTTATTCGTTATCAAAACATAACTCGAATATCTTTTATTTGAACCTAAGATGGTGCTAAGATGTGCTCAAGTAGTTCCCCTACAAGTGATAAGTTTAGAGATAAGTGAACACCTAGTATATAAAAGTATAGCAAGATGTTGGAATAAGCAACAATTCACCTCACATATATACTTTCTCTTTATTTTACTGTAGACTTTATGATATTGTTTGTCATGACTGCCTTTTCTTTAAACTGCAATACAGCACATTAATCAGAATTACTCAAAACAAACACTTTTGTATCATTTTATTTTTTCTCTTTTGATTGAATCACTTATACTGGTTAGTTTATGCTAATAAGAGTATTTATAGTAATTATGGGAATTTTTTTACAGAAGATGGATGAACAATTTCAAAAAATGAACAAAATTCGATAATGATGCTTGAAAGTATGGGCTCAGGAGAGATAAGAAAATTATTCAAAATTCTATTAACATACCCATACTTGGATAAAAAGCAACAAGCATTATATTTGGTTAATTATAAAGGGCATGTAGCTCAATATGAACCATCAGCGTGGACATGAACCATCATCATGGACACTATCGACCTTTCATATTTGTGTGATTTTTTTTCTGGTTGCTATCTTAGGTAGCAACCAGACCTCTGCTGATCCTAGTTCTGAATTTGTCAAAGGAAAAAGTGAGTTTAGTTATTACAATAAGACCATTTTTTTTTTATCATCAATATTTTATCTTAGGATATAAGTCTTAGTTGTAAGTAATATAATTTTGATAAATTTCTGGGAACATTATTAATGAGTATAAGCGATAACAGAGTGGTTTGCATTATTATTGGCTAAATCCCTGCTATTTATACACAAATTTTTTAGTGTCAGTTATGAAAGAGTAAAAAAATACCGTTGCTTTAAGGAGTCTTTACTTTGAAAAGTTGAAAAAAAAAACTTGAAAAATTTCTTCTTTTCTTCAACTTTTGCCGTTCATTTTTTCTTTTCTTCTTATTTTGAAGAATACAGTTATTAACATAATAACTACTCAATAAATATTATTAACACAAAAATTATATTCAAAAATGCAAAAAAAAAAACATTCAAAAAATTACCATCTCATATTGAAGAAGGTGTTATCATTTTTGAAAAGAAATTATTTCAACTGAAATATTATTTTTTGTGAAATAAGTATCTTCGATTGATGCAAGAGATATAATTTTTCATGAATAATAATGATAAAATAGCTTCGTGAACTTAAAATATCACAAAAATCTCATGCAAACGTGAGCTCGTGAGATATACCATACGCTAGGATAACTTGAGCTGGCATAGTTTGAACGCGTGATCCTTGCATTTATACATACATGTGTATATGTATACCAAACGAACACAATATTCACCGAGCTCAGCGAGGTGAGATCCAAGAGTTCCAGAGGTGAAAGACACGAGGGAGAGGGGAGGACGACGACCGAGGACGAAGGTGAAACGCAAGATAGATGACCGCGGGCAAAAGAACCAAACTATACTTCTTCTTCTTCTTCTTCTTCTGGTTTAAGAGCAAACATGTATAGAAGCTTCAACAAAGCGCATTCCACATTGCACTATTTCTTCTTTTTTTTTCCTGGTTCATCATGTTCAAGACATTTGTAAACGGTTCTATAGTTGTATCCGGCTTCTCTCTCTTTTTTTTTTTATATCATTTTTTAAATTTTATTCTCAACTTTCTATTTTTGCAACTTATTATTATTTATTCATGCTATAGATTATCATATTTATATTAGTTTCTAGTTTTTATTTATCAATACTATTTTCCTTGCTCTGAAAATGTAGGAAAATAAAAAACGTGAGGATATAACTAATGGTATTTCTCACTCAGGTATGTAGGTATAGATAGAAATTCCCTTCCCAGATTTACTGCATCATCATTGGTCATAATTTTTTATGTTAGAAGTAAAAAATGAAATAACGGTTACACTGATTATTCAAAAAAAAAAAAAACTTGTTGTATATGAATAAATATTACTACAGATATAGGTAATAATAAAATAAGATGTACACAAGAGTACGTACAATATGGTTTATGAAAGTGGTTCGCCCACTTGTTGGTATGTGAGAGTTTTATAGTTGAATATGTACGAGGTATACACTTGAACAATTATTGCATAGCATCAGTACATACATATCCACTTAATATTTTTTATGGCTTCATAATATCAATTGCAATTTTCACTTTGCTGTGTTTAATTAAAATTTTACATCAATTATAATGAATATTTATGTTATTACAGTTTGCATCGGTACCAATGGACGACTATCAGTGCCATCAAATAAACAACATCACTACAGAAATTTACGTGACCGATACACAAATTGTACTTATGTCGATGGGAATTTGGAGATTACCTGGCTACAAAATGATAGCTTAGATCTTAGTTTTTTACAATATATCCGAGAAGTTACTGGTTATGTTCTCATTAGCCATGTGGATGTACGAAGAGTGGTCTTGCCACGACTCCAAATTATCCGAGGACGGACTTTATTCAAGCTCAACATACATGATAATGAGTTTGCACTGTTTGTCACCATGTGTCAGATGTATAATCTCGAAATGCCAGCACTCAGAGACATTCTTAGTGGCAGTGTTGGCATGTTTAATAATTACAATTTATGTCACATTAAAACCATCAACTGGGACGAAATAATAACTGGTCTTGGAGGCAGATATTTCTATGTTTATAATTTTACATCACCAGAAAGAACATGCCCGGAATGTGATCGCAGCTGTGAACAAGGATGCTGGGGAGAGGGTCCAGAAAATTGTCAGAAATTTTCTAAAACCAATTGCTCACCTCAGTGTTGGCAAGGAAGATGCTTTGGCCCTAATCCTCGTGAATGTTGTCATCTATTCTGTGCTGGTGGATGTACAGGACCTAAACAAAGCGACTGTTTAGCCTGTAAGAGTTTCCTTGATGATGGTGTTTGCACGTTGGAATGTCCGCCGATGCAAAAATATAATCCAACAACTTATTCATGGGAGGCTAATCCTGATGGAAAGTATGCCTATGGTGCAACTTGTGTCAGAAAATGTCCAGAACATTTATTGAGAGATAATGGAGCTTGTGTGCGATCTTGCCCTCCTAAAAAGAAAGCTCTTAATGGAGAGTGTGTCCCTTGTGATGGACCATGTCCCAAAACCTGTCTGGGGGTTGATCCAATTCACTCTGGAAATATTGATCAATTCAGAGACTGTACCATATATGAGGGATCAATCAATATTATGCAGCATACTTTTGATGGTTATCAACATATTTTGCCAAACTTTACATTTGGTTCGAGATATGGACCTATGCATCCAGATCGTTTAGAAATATTTAGCACTTTAAAAGAAGTCACTGGATATATTAATATTCAAGCTCATCATCCAGCTTTTACTAATTTATCATACTTTAGAAATCTTGAAATTATCGGAGGTCGACAACTTACTGAATATTTTGCATCATTGTATATAGTCAAAACAGCGCTAGTCTCGCTTGGTTTACGTTCGTTGAAAAAAATTAATTCTGGATCAATTATTGTTTTGGAAAATAAAGATCTCTGCTATGCACAGACTATTGACTGGAGTAGAATTAAAAATTCATCAGAGCACGAGAGTCTCTTGTCCAATAATAGAAATGAATCTGAATGCGGTAAGTTTGAAATATTTTTCTCCAAATATTATTTATAAGTATCTTTATAACTGAAATATTAATTAAATATTTTTGTAACAGTTAAGGATGGTCTGGTGTGTGATGAACAATGCTCCAGTGAAGGATGTTGGGGACCTGGCCCTTCACAGTGTCTTTCTTGTAAAAATTTCATGCTTGATAATGTATGTATCGAGAGCTGCAGTATTATACCTGGGTAAGTTGAGAACAAACATGTCATTTTTTCAGTAATAACTATTATAGTATCATTAATTACTTATTAAATTAACTACAACTATTTATCGATATTAATATTTCTTGTATCTAAAGTTTTTGCTTACATGTAGGATTTGAGGTAAATTATTACACAGCTGTGTAAACTTAATCATTAAAAAAAATTAAAACGAAATATACTTACATTAAAAATTTTTTTTTTCAGAATTTACCAATCTGATGCTCGTATTTGCAAACGTTGTCATGAAGAGTGTGATGGTTCATGTGATGGTCCAAACGCTGAACATTGCACAAAATGTAAACATCTTCGCGACGGTCCATTTTGTGTCAAAGAGTGTCCCTCGTCTAAATACAATGATAATGGCCATTGTAAATCCTGTCATGAAAACTGTGTAGGAGGATGTGAGGGTCCAGAAAACAATATAGGACCCAATGGATGTCATAGTTGTGTAAAAGCTATTATGAATGGCCATGTTCCGGAAGGATGTTTACAAAAACGTGAGCCATGTCCTGAAGGCTATTACTACGAGTGGGTGAGTCCCCAAGAGCAAGGATCATTGAAACCTCTTGCTGGAAAAGCAGTATGTCGAAAGTGTCATGCACGATGTAAAAAATGTACTGGTTATGGCGTCCACGAGCAAGTTTGTCAACAATGTGTAAAATATAAAAGAGATGAACATTGTGAGGATGAATGTCCAGCTGATCATTATGTAGAAGTTGAATCTCAATTATGTATACCTTGTTCATCGGAATGTCGTAGCTGCTATGGTCCAGGTTCTAATCAATGTCATAAGTGCCGTAATTTCAAATTATACCTAGAATCAACACCGCCATATGATAACACAACAAGATTTAACTGTACAGAAACATGTCCATCAGAAGTTCCTCATAAAATTTTTCCTCCTGATGATGAACCGTACTGTTCTTTTGAACCAGTACTTGGATCATCTCATTTAGAAAATGAATTTCTAAACCGACCTCTGGTTCTCGCAATCATTGGTGGAGTAATGACTTTTGTTATGATTGCCGGAGCAATTATAATGTGGCAATGGCGACTAAAGACAAAAGCTAAAGAGAATACTGTTAAAATGACGATGGCTCTTACTGGTTTAGATGATAATGAACCATTAAGGCCAACAGGTGTAAAACCTAATCTAGCAAAACTAAGAATTATTAAGGAAGAGGAAATGAGAAAAGGTGGGATTCTTGGATATGGAGCATTTGGGAATGTTTATAAAGGTGTATGGGTTCCTGAAGGAGAAAATGTTAAGATTCCAGTAGCCATTAAAGTTTTACATGACAACACAGGAGCAAATACATCAAAAGAATTCCTTGATGAGGCTTACATAATGGCTAGCGTTGAACATCCCAATCTTCTTCAACTTTTAGCAGTTTGTATGACTTCTCAGATGATGTTGGTTACTCAATTGATGCCTTTAGGCTGTCTCTTAGATTTTGTACGCACTTATAAAGACAAAATTGGTTCAAAACCTCTTCTAAATTGGTCAACACAAATTGCTCGTGGTATGGCTTATCTTGAGGAACGACGATTAGTTCATCGAGATCTTGCAGCAAGAAATGTACTTGTACAGACGGCCAATTGTGTAAAAATTACCGATTTTGGTTTAGCTAAATTACTAGATATTAATGAAGAACAATATAAAGCAGCAGGTGGCAAAATGCCCATTAAATGGCTTGCTCTTGAGTGTATTCAACATCGTGTTTTTACTCATAAATCTGATGTTTGGGCATTTGGAGTTACAATATGGGAAGTTTTTACCTATGGTGAAAGGCCTTATGACAATGTTCCGGCACGTAATGTTCCTGAATTACTTGAAAAAGGAGAGAGATTACCTCAACCAGCCATCTGCAGTATTGACGTTTATATGATTATGATCAAATGCTGGATGTTGGATGCAGAATCAAGACCAAGCTTCAAAGAATTAGCTGACGATTTTGCAAAAATGTCGAGAGATCCTGGTCGTTATCTTGCCATTAAAGGAGATAAATACATGAGATTACCGTCATATACTCTACAGGTTTGTTGGGAAATTGTTCAAGTTTTTTTTATTGCAATTGAAATATATTTCAAAGGAATGTAATAATAAATGTATTAAATTTTTTTTAGGACGAAAAAGAAATGATTCGACATCTAACATCAACAGTTGAGGATCCTGAGGCATTAGTTGATGGTGATGAGTATCTTCAGCCAAAGTCACGTGCACCAATACCACCGAGACTTGCAGCATCAAGTATTGTTGATTCTCCGCCTCCCACGCCAGTAAAAACGAGTTGGCCAAACGGAACATTATCAGCTCTCACAACGGATTCTCCAACACCTCAAAATCAACAAAATTGGGATCGTGAATTACTCACGAGGTATAATGCAGGCACTCACACCAGTGAAAGTGCATCGAATAAAGTTCCCAATCGCCAACGTATTCAACATCAAACCAACTGCACTCATCCTAGCGATCAAAATTGTCGAAGCGTGGTTGGGAAGGATGGTAAATCACGATATTGTTCGGATCCATTAAAAATAATCGGTGGAACAAGGGATTGTGACGTGACTGACGATGGTTTCCAAACAGAGGCTACAAATGTACATCAGCAAGCTCAAGTAGGTGGTCTCAAGCTCGATTTACCTCTGGATGAAGATGATTACCTCATGCCTTCACCACAAATCCCCACTAATGCCGCACAATACATGGATCTTATTGGAGACACGAAGCCCACCGGTAATAAAACATTTTACTATATTTTAATATTCACTTATAATGTTACTAGACAACTGAAAATGTATTTGCTAATAGATAATTTTTATCTTTCAGAATCAGATCCAAAAGTGGTAATGAATGGTTATCGAACATATCCAGAATTCACAAGTATAGCAGGTAAAACGTCTCTGGATAATCCAGAGTATTTAATGTCTCAGGACGGTCCTCTGAGTCCCCAGATTATTGGTATTCCAACAGTAGATCTGGATAGGGTACTTACCGGTGGTACGTTTGGTTCTCAAGTAAAGCAACGATGCTCTGAAGAAGAATCTGACCATGAGTACTACAATGATTTCGATCGGCTTGAACGTGAACTCCAACCCCTCAAACCATTGCGAAAAAATGAAACGACCGTATAGCTTGCAGTTACCTTAGTTAGGCGAACAAACTAAATAGTTCTCTTGAAATTCTACTGCTTTACAGAAATCATTTGCAGTACTTGGTTCAAACTGATTAAGTATAAGAGTATACTATCGGCATTTACTACCATGTAGAGTGGAGATATACTGATTATTGCCTTAGTAATTTTGCCATTCTTTATCTCTCAATAGTATACCCGATATACTATTTTATTTATACTAGTGCAAAGAAGAGTAATAATAATTGACATTGACCTAAAGTGCCATTTATGTGGCGTGTAAATATTAAAATATTGATTTCAAAATAGTCTATATAATAACTTAAAAACTGAGTCCAATTTTATTTTTATTTTTACGACTAGTATTTTTTTAAATAAAAAATGTTAATAGTTAAAATTTTACAAATAATGAACCGTATTCATTGATCCCTGTCGATGACAGACCGCAATTACTTGAAGCAATTAAATAATAATAAATGTTTTAATTATTTTCGAAATACCACGTAATCATGTATCTTATTTTAAGTATTATCAAGTTATACAGCATTATCAATTTTATATTGTATAGTATACATCAGTATTTTATACTCTTGACATGAACAAAATTACCTGTAATATAAATATATTTATATATGTTTCAAGTACTTGGCGGTAATAATAATGAATAAACGGTATCTTAGCGCAGTATATTGACTGCTAACTGTGATGGAGTAATTTTATAATTTTTTTTTTAGAGTTTAATATAAGTTTTGCGGACCAATAAAATTGGACCATGTAAGAGGTATGAAAAAATTCCTCGCTAGAAAAAAAAATCGACTTTGTAAATAACAATTAATTAGGTTTAATGACAATAATTTAACTTGCTTATAAACAATTGATCAACTGTGAGACAAGTACTTGAAAAAAATAACTAATCTTTTTTGTTGTTGTTATTAGGGTAAATAATTATATAAAAGTCCCATTCATTCTGTATTTTAATATTTTTATATAGCATTAGCATGTGCCATTTTGTGCAAAAATACAACGAAACATAACATTACAATTGCCGATTTGTGGAAAAAACAAAATTAATTTTATTAACTATGGTATTTTAATTAAATAAACCTAACTATTTGAAATTACAGTTTCAATCAACTAGCCATACATCTCTATAGTTCAGCAACTTTTTACATTTATTTACACGATTGTACATTTTTGTATTAATTGTTACGTATTATCATAATGACATTATAATTAGGCGTAATTATTGTAAAAAAATATACATAAATATATATATTTTGTGTTATGCAAATTTTCGAAAAAAATTATTAAATGAAATTTTTTATAAAAGTTGTTTTCTTATTTAATACCTTCGTAGTGTGTTCAAAAAATCAACATTGGCAGTATAAACTTTCAAATCTTATATTTACAAAATTTATTTATTATGAAAATACTTACATAAATAACGGAATATAATTGAACATCCGTTTATTCTGTTTTCAATAATTCTTTTTGCTTGTTATCGAGAATAGATTCTGCTTTTTTTACATAATTATCACAAAGTGCGTCTAACTGGACCTGTATTCGTCTAATTTGGTCTTCAGATATCGATGGTTTATTTTTTAAACCTTTAACTTGTTTATTTCTTATATCTTTGATTTTATCTCTGCTTTTAATGAATATTGATTTAGCATTTTTTGCAAGATTTTCCCTGTGCTCTTTCGTAACTCTAAATTAAAAAAATGTATTTTTAATATTCATGTAAAAGATCAATAAATAAAAATGAATCTTACTTTGGAATTGGAATATAAATAGTCGTTCCATCTTGTTGAGGATTTAGATTCATTCCGCTCTTACTGATCATTTCTAATATTTGTGGAATAGCTTGAGGAAAACTTGATGCATTAAGTACAACTACTTTTGGTTTATAAACAATTTGTACAAGTTCTTGTAACATATATTCTTCTCCTTCAAATTTAACAGTTAGTTGATCCATCGATCCAGATGATGATCGAACTGTTAAGTTTTTTATAAAATTTTCTTTTAATGCTTCTATTTCATCGTCCATCAGAGCTGTATATTTATCAACGTTGATGAAGGCTTTTGCTTCGTTTAAATCAAGTTTCTGAGCTTTGTTAGGTTTCTTTTTCTCTTTCTGCATAAAAGACGATGAATGGAAAAATTTATGATTCGTTTCTACCAATAAATTCCAATTAAAAGTTGATTGATCTTTCGTCAAAATCATTTTCTCAGGCAATAACAACCTAGAATTCATACTCCTCAACCCACTAAGATGTCTCATTATGACTAATTTATTCAACATTGTTGGATAATAACAATAAAACTTGACAAGATTCCACTTCATTTTTTCATTTCATTCGATCAATTTTATATCAAAAATTGTTTATACTCTCAGGATCTATTAAAAAATACAATTTACTACTTGATAATTCAATAATAATATTGAGCAAATTAACCTGTACATACATGCAAGTTGACAATGATGTGTAAAAAGAAAAAGAAAATTATAAATTATGTGATACCTACCCTTTGATAAGGTATCAATTAAAAAGAATAAATGAGTGATTGTTAAATATCAATAACAAATCCAGTAATCGGTGGTTTTTAAATAATTAAATAACCACAACAATGAAAATAGGGTATGGATAGTGGCGCCAAACGACACATGGAGGTTAGAAAAGAGAACTAAAAAGCAGCGCAGTAATCGCAGGCTTGTCGGTATTACAGAGCAATATTTAATTTTGTTTTGAAAAAGGGTTTATTACTTCAATTACAATCAACATTTTAGCTAAATAAGTGTCTGGTTCTACACTCGTTTTTATTGTTTTATAATAAATATATTATTAATGAATTAATTATTCCAGTAAGTACTCAAGATAATATCCTGAAATGTATCAGTGACTAAATAGAATAACTTTATTCATCTAATAATTTATACATTTCAGCAATGAAATGTCTTTTTCATTGTGTTAATTATTTTCTTTTATTTTACATTATTTGAATAATTTAACATTTGATGGCTGAAAATAGAAAAAAATTGAAGTGACAATAAGATAAAAATTGAAAATCGCTAAGGTAATGATGCGTATTCAAGGATCCAGTTCATTCGTGTTTAACATTTTATCTATCTCCTTGAAGGTTATCAATGACACTTGCTGAGTCAGTAACGGCGTAGTGCGGCATCTTCAAAGTTTAATATCCGAACAACCGCGTCACTCAGTTCACCCAACTCAAGTATATTATATGATACTCCACTTGGTGGCCGTGTTCCACTCCAATATTCCCTACACCCTTTTCTAACACTTTCCTCATCAAATCCTACTGAAGAAAATGAAAAAATTTGCTTCAAAAAAATTACAATCTACAATACTTTCAATTTTAACTGCAAAACAATGAATCTACATTGCTTTAGAATTTTTTGCTATGGTTTTGTAGTAAATCAAACCCTGAACAATCAGAAAGTTAAAATATAATTAAGAGAGGAAATTAAACAATATAAACAAATAATCCAATATAATTAGAATCTTGCATTCATTGACAATAAATCATCTTATATTAAGTTAATTTTAATTATGTGTTAGTTCACTAGAATACCGATTTGTGGGACCTGTATGGGGTGCGAGTGGTTAGTGAACTCGTGGAAGGGTGTAACAATGTATTATATATACACCAACCTATGACAACCCCTCCTGTAAACCACAAACCCCTTCCCATTCATCCCCAACAATTTGTTAACTGCTATCAAATTGAGTTCTGCTGCTGTTGTCTTCGTTCAATTATTTTAAATGTGTCATTTAGCTCAACGAACATTCTATGAATTTGTCAATTTAACAATTTAAGCCTTTAATATGATTCTTTCATTCTTCTCTTTCCATTGATTAATCTACAAAAAAAGGGGGATCAAATAAATAAATAATTTTTGAAAAATTATCAAGCTATAAATTTGAGCAATAAATAATTTATTAAATTGACAGGCATAACGAAAAATGTCTTACTTATCGTGAGTGTGACGTTATTCTAGATATCCCCCGTGGCAATTTGCTCACCCCTCATACTCGTTGATAGTCTTCAAGGAAATAGGGTTCAAACGGCGAATTGTTTAAAAGTATCCAAGTCTATATACTTGGATCTCTTTTCCACGTGCCGCCTGCAGTCTCACATTTCTTCGAAAAAGTGAAGTTATAGATATGAAGAGTTTCCTAGGGATTTGTATCATCCCCATGTGGAATTTGTATCACAGGGGTTGACGACGGAGCAGGTTCTAGACTTCAGACACCCGGATCTTTTTCACGGCACCGATTTAGGGGATGTCGAGTTCTTTCTTGCCACATTGAGCTGCTACGGACTTTAAAGTGCTCTAAAATTGAAATCTGACCCTATCAATCGACAACTGTCGACCAGATTCACTCTTATGAGTAATAGAGATACCTTAACATTCCATTAAAATTTTTTCAGCAGATTTTCAAGAATAAGAACACATTGAAGAAGATCAATTTTAATTATTTATGAATTTATTTAAACTGAAAAAAATTATCTCCAAGCTTTAGTGAAAGTGTCATACATATTTAGAAATCTTTCAAGTAATCATTACCTGCATTCTACTAAGTTATTAAAAACAAATTTTATTTTGACATTAAATACTTGGAATCAAATTTTCCTCAAGCTGATAGAGCTTTAATACGATTATAAATAAAGTTTTGATGCATCGTTTGAAGCAAAAATAATTTTGAGGTCATAAAGAAGTGAAGAAAGTATAGAAATGTAACAAAAAAAAAGGAGAAATAAAATAAGAAAAAGAGAGAATGCGAATGTTAGAGGGTAGTGCATGGTTGGAAGCACATAGGGGCTCATACGTAAGGGGAAGACTTTATGAGGGCATCGAATATATTTCCTGATTGAGCGAACTAATCCACGCAAAGGAGGTTTTATCGTCAGAGTATTCCTAATCGGAGGGTCTTTCTTCTTATCTGAAAAAGACATCGCGTTTCATTGAATATTTCCATTACTACATTCTTCTATTTGTTGTCATATTTGTCAATATCACAAAATATCCCTCTAATCTCTTCTGTTTTATTTCAGAAAACATCAACCAATACATATTGTCATAGACTATAAAAAGTTGAGGAAAAAGCTTGAAAAAGTTAGTGTCCATGAAGCTTCTAAGAGCATGGAAAAAAATATATCTAGGCAACAGGAATCCATAGCAATACGTTGTGGATCTCGTACACGGCATGGGCGGATCAACGTTCGATCTTTTAATCGTAACTTGCGGCACAGCAATCCTGCAATGTGCACGAGCAAATCTATTTTTATTGTCCCCGAGATAGCGTGTCTCCTTTCGTCGTATTTATAGCTAAAGGGGGTGGAAGACAAAAAAAGAGAAAGCACACAGGGAGAAAGGACAGTATTGACTGTCCTATCATATCTATATACCCTACGACGTACTTGCTTTAAGTAAGTCAACTGGACTTGTTTCAAGCCAACAAAAAAACAAATAACAATTACTTTTAACTACTTTGATACATTTTACTGCAGTTAAATCGTATGATTTATTACCAACAACTACCACCCTTACTACATTTGATCTCTTCGTCTTATGTTAAGGTATTTATGATGAGATATCATCCTATAAGTTGATAGTAATAAATTCTAGAGGAAATACTTGATAATTAATTTTTAAAAATTTTAGGAAAATAATGGGACATTTGAGATTGATTTATGACTCATCATATACTGAAGATTAATTGAAAATTCCAGTTTTGAATTGGTGACATTCTTTGAAGGCTTAGTGTGATTATATATTTTGCTTAAAAAAGATCGAATGTAAAAGTGGAAAACTTTAGTACAGATTAATTCACAAACTTTTTGGCAAATATAGCACAAATATATGAGTTGGCTGAATGTAAGTCAACTGGACTTGGTTGAATCTGGCTAAAGAACAAGAGACAGTTATTTTTAACTACTGATGTATTTTACAACCTCACTTGGGTCTCTGGTCAGCAATGGAGATTGTAGTTTGGCCATTAACGTGTGGACTTTAGGTGTATTATACGAGAATATGCGAAAAGCAGGAGAGTAGAAGCGAAGAATGAATATTCAAGAGTAAACATTGGTTGGCTTGTGTAGTAGGGATGTAAATGCGACGTCGAGAGAGATGCTGCAGTCTTGCCTATGTGGTATCAACGAGTCTCAACTGCAGGAATAAAAGGGTATGCACAAGAGCTTCTCTGTGGCTTCAACTAAAGTATACCCAACTTGTTTACGATATTACATCTACACCAAAGCTCAAGTGACCACTGTCCACCCTACCCTCTAATCTCCATCGCACCCTGGTCCTCATGACACCCTCGTTTCCAGATACAGCACGTTGAATGTTCTCGCGACGATTATTATAATGTGTTCTTGTTTGTTCTCGCGCTTACCAACCTAATACTTGGTATCTTATATAACAATTTTTCCTAACACACAAGATAAAAAGCCAATTTGTGAAGTTCGAAATATAATTTTTCATGGACTGGTGAAACAGTAGCAGGATATGATTTTAGTTTTGGAGAATAAGATCGTATTTTTTAGGATCAAAATGTTCCCCTTATTCCAACTCTTACATGCTGTTTTGATTCTAGCTGTTATAGGAAAGACATATATCACCAGTTCACCCCATATAAGGCAGAATCTGGGGTGGCTGGAGAGAGTTCGATGGACACACTGGATTTATTACTGCTTCCGATATACTACGTGTAATTATTAAAATCTTCAATTATTCTCTCTTTTATTTATTTCCTTTTTTATATCTTTTTTTTTCTATTTTCAAAGTATCCCTGAAGCCAGTAAAAACATAAATAGGACATTTTTTAGTATTACTACCTTTAATCTAACAATGAACAAGTTTATTTAAAAATATTCTCTTTATTATTGAACTTGACATTGTTTTATTAATTTTACTATTAATATTTTTTTTTTACAGGATCAATCATTGAAGAGGACAATAAATTATGTGCATATGTCATATGCAAAAGAACTGAACAATATTCAACGTAGAATTCACGAGAAATTAGGCGTGAAATGCCACCGCGTGAACTGAATATTTTTGCTTGAAAATAAAATAAAGGTAATTTATTTTAAAAATTCTTATGTAAAATTTAAGATGGCTATACAAGATATTATCTGCATGTGTCTATCGAATGACAGTTAATTAAACAACTGTTGGAAAGTAAGAAGAAAGATAAAAATTGAAAGAAATTTATGAGAAAAATAAGCGAAAAAATAACAAATATATTTGAACTTTGAAATATCGCGTGTCAATCTCAATAAAATACAGAGTAAGATCCTGATGGAGTACATAAAAGTCCGTAATGTTTTTATGGTGGACGAGTGACTATGGAATACATGGCAATCGACTGAATGTTCTCTTGTATCTTCTTTACGTTAGCCACTTTTGTATTCGCTCGGCAAAACCAATCTCCATAACATGAGCGTGCAAGACACCCCATATGTTTCGATCGACTGGCGTCAATCTTCTATCTTCTACCTGCTGCTGATCGTGAAATGATCATGTAGAGACATCAACCAAGTTGTAGTACCTTCTACAAGCGGTCTTGGAATAAAAAAATGAATGGAAAAAATTTCAAGAGCTTTTTTATCTAGTTTAATTGGAACGTTGATA